CCGAACAGAATATGCAGGCGTTTTTCTAAAACAGTTGAACGTTCTTGGCGCGGCGGCGAGCCGTACCATTTTTATTCGTTCATCCTTATTTGGTTCCGAAAGGGACCGATCACTGCCGGAAGTACTTTCAAAGGATGGGTTCGAAATGCCTCCCACCCACCGAGACGCACGCCCGCATTCTTTTTTGGGTGTTAGCTTGTACACGCGGAGCATATCGGGCGTGATGCACGCCACCGCGCCGTGTATCCGGGCTATCGCCTCTTCTGGTGAAGAAACCTCCACACGGTACACCTCCTTCTAAAATAATGAAAATAAAATGTAAACTTAGAATACTTAATTTAGAAATAAATACATCATAACAATAATGATTAGCAATCATACCTTCAAGTATTCCCAGAAGAAGAAATCGAGTGGGTTTAAGTCGGGGGATCTGGCGGGCCACGCAATTGCGCCTCGGCGGCCAATACACCTGTCTTGGAAGGCTTCATCTAAGTACGACCTGACATCGGCGGCATAATGGGCAGGCGCACCATCATGTTGCAAGTACATGTTCTTCCGAGTCTCTAATGGAATTTCTTCCAAAAGAGTTGGAAGAACATGTTCCACAAAAATTTTATATAAAGGGCCGTCCAGTCTGTTTGGCAGAATGTACGGCCCAACAACAAAATCCCCGCAAATGCCAGCCCATAGGTTGATTGACCAGCGTACTTGCGCAGCACGTGGGCGACTCACAATCGGATTCTGTACGTCCCACACATGCGAATTGTGGGCATTAAGGCACCCTTCTCTTGTGAAGAGAGCTTCGTCCGTCCACAAAACGCATTAGAGGAACGACGGGTTCTGCTCCATTTCCCCCAAAATCCACCTTGCAAACTCCACTAGGCGAAAAAAATATTCTTACTCCAAATCTTGCGCCCAAACGTACTTGTACGGGTACATGTCGTTTTCTTGAAGAGTGCGGTGTACCGTGGAGCGACTCATGCTGAAAGAAAAAACAGACATCTATTAATAAATGTTTCTATATCTTAATAAAGTGTTTCAATATTTTTCACATTACTTACCCCACTTGACGGCTGACATCACGAATGCTTAGTGTTCCGTCGTCTTCAAACTGTTCGAGCACGTCGTCCGTTCGTACCGTAGAAAGCCGATACGTCTTGCATCAAATCGTACAGGATGAAACGAGCCGGTCGAATACAATCTATTCGCTAATCTGCGAAAACAGTTTATAGTGGGAGGATTCGTACTACGATACTATTCCGTATAGCGTTCGGCGGCAAGCACCGCGTCCCCGTTGCATTGCCCGTATAAAAAAATCATATTAAAATATTCCGCGTTCGTGCGCTCGTAAGACATTGTAATGAGCTACGTGTTTACTATCCTGCAGATCTCCAAAAAATGATCGTTGGTATAACGTAGCATTTGTAGGATGTTTCTGTAACGATCGTCAGTTCGGCGATATTCAATTGTGTAATATTTTTCCAGAAACGTTCGTCATAACGTTCAACTGTTTTAGAAAAACGCCTGCATATTCTGTTCGGCAGTTGTGTTTCGCGTTCCTCACGAGAATGGTCGCAAAAAGTAGTGCCGCTTCACCGTTTGGACAGAAGCGTGTTATAAAATCTTTTAAACATATTGATGACGTTTCTCCGATTAAAATGAGGCCAAACGTGATATAATTTGGATAATGTTTATCGTTTATTAAAAAATGTGTTGTTTCGATAGATTGACTCGGGAACTGTGAGTGAATTCTCGCTTTGCAAACGCGAACCGCAGCGTGAAGGAAACAGCTGAATAGATTTGCTGAAAAATGACAGTGAAAATGATCGTGTTGTGAACTGAAGTCAGTGCAGTAACCTCTGAGTACTATCAGCTGTGTTATACGGTGCCAATATCTGCGACAGGTCAACATCGGCAGGACGACCCAGTGGCAATTACCCCATCACTTTCACTGTCAGATTATTAACAAGCAGGATTATTTTCAAAGAATGGGTGAGTCTTATTTTAATAAATTTCCTGTAAATAAGTAGAGACGTTAATACATTTATTAGATCTCATATTGAAACTCTTTCTTTTCACAAACAGAATAAGTATTTCCTATTAAAATACGTAAATTCGTTGGCCAATATTACTGTCGAAAATAAAACAAAAAAATTTCGATATTTAACACGTTGACTGCCAGAAGCATTTTCCATGGTTTGCCCAAGGCGCCGACGTGAACATTTCATTATGCAATACATATTATGTTGAAATATTATTTGCAGGAAATAAAATGAGTTATAAAATCATGCTTGAAGTATTCTTCGTGGTGGGGGTCACCGGTGATCGTCACAGCGCTGTAGACAATTATTACGATTGTCATTTTTTCAAACAATCGTGCTTCGGTTGCTAAGTGATTCCTCTCATTATTTAGTCTTATTCAGTGCGTTCTACAAACAAGTAAGTGCGTTTGTTATATTTTTTCACTCTATATGTGTTTTTGCATATTATATCTTTCATTCAATTTTTTAATTAGCGAAATAACTATTTCGTTACTCCAAGACAATAGGCAGGGCGACTGCCGCGCCGCGCCAACATTGAGTACCACTGATAGCGACGCGTGTTTTGCTGAACTATTTTTTTTATAAAAGGAAAGCAAAAGTGATTTTGTAATTTCGCTTGATGATTATCTTCTGCAGAAATGTCTACTCTATCATGTGGGATGGTTAGATTTTC